CCGGGGCGCTGAAGCCGGCCCCCGAGGCCAGGACGAATTCCCCGTCCCGCGGCAGGAGCTGCAGGAAGCACAGGCGGAGGCGACGCCTCGCGGTGGTCCAAGGTGCCACAGGGTCCCTCCCCCGCCCCCGTGTTCCCGGGGAGGGGAGGTCAGGGGCTGGGGGCGCCTGGCCCTGGCTGAGGGTCAGAGAAGCCGGAGGGAGCAGGACTGCAGGCCAAGGAGCCAAACCCAGCCTGAGACCTGGGGGCGTGAAGAGTTTGCGGCAGGGTGACACTAGGGTCATTGCCCTCTCCCATCACCCCCGAGGACCTGTACAAGGCAGGGGAGTGTGAAGGCAGCCCTGAACTGTGTGAGGGCGAGGGGGGAGGCGGCAGGGAGCAGCACTGTGACAAGAGGCAGCCCCGCCCACAGGCCCGCGGGAGTGAGCCCTGGAGACAGACGGATGCGCCTCAGGAACAGGGGAAGGCGTCGCAGTGCGAAGCCTGAACAAGACCTCGTTTTTGGAGAAGAACCAAAGGGGGTTGAGCCACTATTACATTACTGTACCCGAATGTAATGTAACACTGTATGTTAACTATACTGGAATTAAAATTAAAACTTAATAATAAAAAGAACCAAAGAGGGGGATACAAATTACAGAACACAGAATAATTGAAAGGAAGAGCACACTAGGCGAGATAAACATGCGGACTGGTCCAGCTGGAGAAGGTCCAGCTGGAGAAGCCCCAGCGCCTGGGGTGTCCCTGCGGAGGGACTGCAGGGCAGAGCAGGAGAAGGTGGAGCCCCCACGAGAGGAGGGAGGATTGACAGCACCAGGCCAAAATGCAGATACAAACGTGGGTGGGGGGGGATATTTGAAGAAGCAAGGAGGATGCATTTTCCAGATTTGAAGAAAGCTGAGAAACCTCAGATGGAAAGGCATCATGTGGCATGGGAAGCAAGAAAATCACACCCAGGCACGCAGCAGTGTGTTTAGGAACGTCAGTGACACAGAGAACATTCTAAAAGCTTCAGAGACAAAGAACAGATCACCCAGGAACACAAAAAAACTCAGAGGTCAGGTTTCTGAGCAACAACAATGGATGCAAAAAGACAATGTAATGATATTTTATGTATTAAAGGAAAAGAAGTTTCCATCTAGAATTTTATATCCAGCCAAAGCTCCATTCAAATGCAGGAGCATAAGGAAAAGACTTCAGACCGCAGCAGAGACCTGCCCTGAAAACATGCTTGGTTGGAGGAAGAAGGAAAGAAATGGGAAAGAAACACATCAAAAGGTCTTGTTTGTGGAAAGACACGGACACTGAAAAGCTTAAGAAAATAAAAAGGACTGCCAGACTTGAAAACCTGGGTGAAATTTCTAGAAAAATCCAAAATGTCAAAATCGACACAAGAAGCAATAGAGAATTTGCATAGACCAGCAAACGTTAAAGAAATTAAAATGCCAGTCGCTTTCCAGCACCCTTATTTTTACACGTGAAGTACACTACACTCTCAAGGAACAACTGATTTCTTCTTACAGAAGTTGTTCTGCGAAACAGAAAAAAGAGTGAAAATTGCCCGGGCCATTTCATGAGGTCTGTGTTGATCTTGATTCCAAATCCAGATGAAGAAAAATTGGAAGTTCGTTCTACTTATTATGATGCAAAAAAAAAAAAAAAAAAAAAATCCCAAATAAAATGTCAGCCAGCTAGGGGCACCTGGGTGGTGCAGTCGGTTGAGTGTCCGAATCTTGGTTTTGGCTCAGGTCATGATCTCGGGGTCGTCAGATCGAGCCCTGCACCGGGCTCCACGCTCAGTGGGGAGTCTGCTTGGGATCTCCCTCTCCCTCTGCCCCTCCCACTCATGTGCTCTCTCTCTAAAATAAAGAAATAAATCTTTAAAAGTATATATTAGTGACTAGATCCATTACTATATTTTAAAAATGCATGGTGATCATGGGGTTCCTGTCCCAGGACTGCTCCCATCCCCACTTCCCAGTAGTATGTATGATGGTGTCCCAGCTAATGGCAGTGAGGAGTCTTAAGCCAACAAAATCAGTGTATTAGGGCAGAGGGAAGTCAGGTGTCTTGCAGAAGGGGCATGCTCTGACCTGCATCTACAGGAAGGTGCCAGGAGGACATTAGTCTCACTATGACAGTTCAAACTCAGAAAACCTCATTAACAGGCTAAAAGGAAGGAGGGGGCAATCGTATCTCACTTGATGTAAAAAAAACAATAACAACAACAACAACAACAAAAAAACACCAGAGAAGTCCAACAAACTTATTTATGATTTTTTAAGAAGCTGCTAGCAAGCTAGTAATAGAATTTCCACAATTCAATAAAGTTTACGTACCAAAACCCTACAGCAAACATTACACTCAGTGGAGAAACGTGACATGCCTTCTCTTTCACATTGGAACAAGACACGGATGCCTGCTTTTGTCACTTTTGTTTAACCTAGGGGGAGGGGTCCTGGACAATGTTATTTTTTTTTAAAGATTCATTTATTTATTTTATTGAGAGAGAGTTGGGGGGAGAGAGAATCCCAAGCAGACTCCCCACTGGGCATGGAGCCTGACACAGGGCTTGATCCCACGATCCTGAGATGACGACTTTAGCAGAAACTAAGAGACAGACGCTTAACCAACTACTCCACCCAGGCGCCCCCTGGACAATGCTATTTGGAAAGAAAAAGAAATAAAAGGAGTCAGGACTGGAAGAAAGGTGGAGCAACTCTCATCATTCATAAAAATAAACCACTAGATGTGTAATTTTTTAAAATAGAGTACCGTTCACAAGAGAAACCACATTACAAAGTGTTCATGAATGGACCGATCTATACAAGACCTCTATGGGGACCTCTAGTATCGAGTTTTATGATGGATGATACGAAACATTTGCAGAGAAATTCATGGCCTGATGATAGAAAGCGGGTGTTCATTCCCCCAAAAAATTCCAGGGTTTTGTTGTGGCTGTTGTTACCCGATAAACCTACCCTCCAGTTTCTCTGCAACAATCCGATCCACAGAGACCTAGTTGGCCCTGTGGCGGAAGAGTGGCCGGGAGAGTTGCCCCAGTGGGCATTAAGCCCACCCACAGAGCCACACAGCCTGAGGACCGCGCGGTGCCGGCGGGAACAGGCAAAGGGACAAGGGAGAACTCAGAGCGCCCTGCACCCAGGGCGGCTGAGGCACAGCCAAGGGGCGAGGCTGGTGGCCTGGGGGAAGAGGTCAGAAACTGGGCTTATTCTAAGGAGAAGAATAAAGCCGGCTGCCTAGCTAGTGCCCCACTCAAGCGTGGGCCCCTGATGGCGGAACTGCGACGTAATCACTTATTACACATGTGCTCGGCTATGGCTGAGACTCAGCAGCAGCAAAGAGATTCCTAAAACGCCACGAACACCCGTATAAGGCAGCCGATTTTGCAGCATAGATTAGGAGGGCAGCTGTTCGGCGAAGGGCACCACACGCAAAAAGTTCACAGTGAGAAGACACTTGCAGTCTCTCAAACCAACCATGGATCGATGGATAGAAAATATGAGATTCCATTCCAGACCAAGAAAACTGGGTGAATAGAAATGGGAGGGGAGAGGGGGTTCAGGAAGGGGAAAATCCCAGAGGGGGAAGCTCCAAACCTGAGCTGTGTGAATTAAAACACAGCTGTGGTTGCACCTTTCACTAGGGCTACATCTGGGCAGCCAGATAATGCTGAGCACAGGGGCTCGTGGAGGAGGGGCCTCCGTGCAGCGAGGCTGGGAGGCGGTCTGGGGCAGCTCTGGGCCCATTCAGCCTGTTCCCACCTGGGTCTTCCAGCAGGGGTGGGAGAGTGGGGGGAAGCCCCCCAGTGCAGGAGGAGAGGCTGGGGAGGTGAGGGGGTGCCCCACAGGCCCCCGGGAAAGGAGTTGGTACTGCCATTTGGACAGCTGGGGATAGAAAGAAGGGCCAGAGAGAGGAACCTGTCAGGCTATGAATGAATGAATGAATGTCTCTTTTAAGATCCTCAAGCTCTTCAAAGGAGATCATGAAAATAACTAAGTCAGCAGAGAAGGGCCCCAGGCCCCAGGCCCCCACCCCGAGGGTCCCGCACCTGCTCTGGATGCCCCTCTTCCTGCTCCCGGCTGCTGCCTGCCTGGTCGCCACAGTTAGGCACAGGCAGGGGGAGTGGGCTCTGGGCCCATCTGCCCTCCCATGCCTCCCCTTGATCCTTCACCTGCTGCTGCCCCCTTCCGCACCTTAGTCTTTGGGTTGGACAGATGGAAAAGGGCATCCCGACCCCGGATCTGCCAGGACCAGGGACCACCAGTCTCTGCCCGATGCCCCCTGCCCAGGCAGGGACAGCTCTGGCTCACAGGTAGGGGTAGGGGTCCCTTGCACTGATTTGTCCTGCCCCATGAGTGGCCGGGTCCCACCGCCAATGCGGCTTTTGGAAACCATCCATTAACCAAGACATCTCAGGGAGTGGAAATAAGGCCTGGGGTCCCCAGATCCTGCATCTGGGCAAGAGATTGGGTGGGGCCGGGGCTACCAGATGCCTCCCCCAACTCACCTTTCCACACAAAATCCAGTGGCCTCTAGATGACGGCCCCAGCCCTGGCACCCACACCCAGAGCACGCCCCCCCACCAACTCCACCCTTACTCAGAGCCAGCAACCCTCACATCAGTCCCACCTTGCTGGCCAGTCTGCTGTTGACAGGACAATGATCAACCCAGAGGACAGCGGGGGCTGTGGAGGTGCTTAACTAGGAGGGGACCCTGAGATTCCCGGGTCCCAGGAAATGACACTTTAAATCGGGGAGCCGTGACCCTTTCTGCAAAGGGCCAGTCAGTAAATACGTTAAGCTTTGAGGGCCACACAAGACTCCCTCATGGCCACTCAACTCTGCCTTGTGGTGTGACGCGGGCCATAGATGAGATGTTAGCGACCAAATGGGCGGGGCTGTGTGCTAATAAAACTCTATTTATTGAATTCTATATTTCCCGTGCCACAGAAGTGTTCATCTTTTGGCTTTTTCCCCCCAACCATTTAAATATTTCAAAACCATTCTTAGCTCCGGCCATGCGGCTGCATTTGGCCAGCACGTAGCTTGCCAACCCTGCCCTTTAACAAACAGCGGAAGTCTTTCTCCCAGGCCATATCAGAGCCCTTAACACATCCCGAAAGCTCCAGGCAAGTAGGTGGCTTCTCCCAAATTTACTGGTCATGGAACCTCTCTTTCCCTCCTAATTCCCACCATTCTCTGGAACACTAGTGTCCTGCGAAGCAGTTTGAGAGAAAGACCCCCGAGATTTCTGATGGGGGGTTTTAGGTACCAGACAGAGAAAGGCTGTGGGGGAAGGGTGTTTCCTGGAGAGAACCTTAGAGAAGACAGACTACTGCGGGCTGGAGGCCAGAAGCAGAGGGCATTGGGGACAGGAGGCGCCCTCTGAACCCCTTTCCAAGGCTGGGGCACAGCCTGAGCTGGGACCACAGGACCAGAGTCTGCCCTCCCATATGGGTCCCCCAACCTCCCAGAAGCCCCTCCAGAGGACAAAGGCCCAAGGCCTGCATGATTTCCCATGTGGGTGGGGGCCGATCTCAAGGCAAGAAAGGTGCTTCCAGAGGACCAGGCGGGACCACCAGCCCCCCTCCATCCCCGGTCTCAGCCACAGCCCCCCTCACCATGTCCGAGATGCTGTGACCCTCTCGCACCAGGACTGACACCATCTGCAGGAAGAAGTGGTGTTGGCGAGCGGACACCCTTTGCCTCTCCCCGACCCCTGGCCACGCAAGTCCCCATCCCGAGCGCCCCCCCCCCGGGGGTGGGGAGAAGGCACCTTGGGGGCGCCTGGGTGGCTCAGTTGGTTAAGCGACTGCCTTCAGCTCAGGTCATGATCCTGGAGTCCCGGGATCGAGTCCCGCATCGGACTCCCTGCTCAGCGGGGAGTCTGCTTCTCTCTCTGATCCTCCCCCTCTCATGCTCCCTGTCTCCCATTCTCTCTCTCAGATAAATAAATTAAAAAAATCTTAAAAAAAAAAAAAAAAAGAAGGCACCTTGTTTGTGGGGAACTCCACGGCGGCGCCCGCACACGGGGTCCGGTTCTGGCTCCAGTTGGCGGCGGGTTCGAAGTCGGTGTTGGGGACCCAGAGTTTGTAGGCGGCCCGGGTCAGCGCTGGGGATGGGGATAACTGAGTGCTTCCCGCTCAGACGCCCCCACGCACAGGCGGAAGGAAGGTTGGCCACAGAGCCCGGCCGCAGATGGGGTCGCCAGGGCGGCCCAGACCCTGCGGGAGCCCCGCCTCAGTGCTGACGAACTCCTACTGGATCTGCGGAGCCCGCTCCTATGTGCCCCCTCTAGGACGCCCGCCAAGATCGCCTCCTCGCCCCGCCCCCCCCTCCCTTTGCCTGTCGCTGGAGCAGAGCGCACGGCCGGGCAAGGACAGTGACAACCGACGGACCGAGGTAAAGGGTAGCGGAGGCCTCTGCCAAGTAGAAGGGGCTGGAGGGCGGGCTCTGATTGGGAGTTGTGTCCTGAGGGAACCGCGAGGGGCTTAAGAGAGGGGGACAGGGACGGGGCTGCAGTTTTCAAGCTCCCGGGCCTGGGGGCGTACACCGAGGACACGCGCCGGCTGGGGTGCAAAGGGGGAGGGTCAGCGCGCCCTCGGGGACGGGGAAACTGAGTCAGGCTGCGGAGCCCGTACATTCCTGCGCGCAGTCGCTGCTGTGGGCAGGAACTGGGGACGCTGCGCATCTCGCAAACCGACGCTGGCGCCCGAGGGCAGGGCCGAACCCCGGGTGGCGGGGGAGACTCTGGCCGGGGGCCTCGCCCCCCCAAGGCCAGGGAGCCTCTCCAGCTGCCGCCGCCCCCCCCCGGGCGAGCCGAGGCCCTCGGCGGTGTGTGGGGCCCCCCGCTTACCGCACAGCTGCAGCCACAGCAGGACCCGGCCCAGAGCGCCCATCCCGCCGCGCTCCCGCGTCGCCACCCGGAGACTTTGCCCCGCGGGGCCCACCTGACCGGGCGGGGCGGGCCGGGGCGGGGCGGGGCGGTTACACATTTACCCCCGGGCCCCTCGAGGCGCCGGGCGGACTCGCTCCCTCCCCCACACTCAGCCCTCCAGGACCTGAGGACCTTGGGTGCCCGGGAGGAGGAGCTGTCACGACACCCCTGCTCCGGGACAAGGGTGTGTTGGGGGGGTTGGTAAACAACCTCCCGTTTCCCTGCTGTCTCTGACCCTGTGCGGCTGGCGCGGCACCTTCTCTGCCCACCTCCTGGGGCTGGGTGCCCACCCTTCCAAGCAGCGCCCTCCTGCCTCCCCGCCTGGAAGCACCGTGGATGGTGGCAGATGGGTCGAGCGGGGCAAGCGCCTATGAACCCACGGGGAATGGCTGGTAGTGGGCGCCTGGTGAGTGGTGGAGGGTGCGTGCACGGGTTAGCAATGGAGGAGGAACAGAAGTTTGGGGGATGGTGAGTGAACACATGAATGCACACGGATTGAGGGATGTGGATGGAGGATGAGTAGTGTGAGATTGGGTAGATGTTGCAAGGGTGATGGGGAGTGACGGGTGGTGGATGGAGGGATGGAGGAGAGTGAATTGTGGAAGGGGGTGCCAATGGATGGTGGGTAGTGTTCGGGTGGGGAAGAATGATGGAAAGCATGGAGGGTAGACAAAAAATGGTGGGTGATGGGTGAGATATAAATTATAGATGTTGGATAGAGTTTGTTGAAATGAATGGTGGGTGAGAAAAGGTGGTGGATTCTGGCTGATGAATGGCTGGTGGATGAGATTGAACGGTGGATGAGTGGATGAACAAGATTTAGGTGGACTGAGGAGCAGGTTACTAGAGGGCTGGCTGATGGGTGGATGAGAGCATGGCTGGATCAATGGATGGATGGATGGACAGGTGGACCAACTGTGTAGGGGGTGTTGGAGGCATGGGGCTGGGGTGGATGGTGGTGAGTGGGGGAGGATGGATTTGTGGGGGATGGGATGGTAAAGGGTAGGTGGGTGGGTGGACAGACTGGGCACAGTAAACTGGATGATGGACAGTGGGTTACAGGTGGGGCGGGTGGTGAATTGATTATCAGGGGATAGGGTGACCTGTGGATGACAGAGTCGGGCAGATGGCACCTTCTTGGTTATGGGTGATGGCAAGGGGAAGAGTGGAGGGTGGGCCACGGGGTCCAGGACGAGCTGGTGAGGGGAGAGTGACTATGGAACGGGGGATGGAGGGCAGGTGATGGACATGGGTGTGGAGGTGGAGAATTGTGGGTACTACTCGCAGGAGGGGAACGACTTAGCCTTGGGGCTCCCTGGCGCCTTCCTCCCTCCTGGCCACCCTGCCCTCTCCTCTATCCCCACCTCTCCCCTGCAGACCCCTGGGATTAGACCCTTCACTCTGACTGGTCTTTGGGTCTCCCCCACAGCCGATATTTCATCCAAGGAGGATGGGACCTGCCACTGGGAAGGGGCAGGACTTCTCTGAGTGGGAATAGGGAGGGAGCAGACCAGCTTTGCCACCCTTCGGCCCAGTGGGGTGTGGGCACCTTCTCTCAGGAGTACGGCGGAGCCAGCCCTGCCTGGGATGGGGAGGGGGTCTCCCTGGCCCTGGAGTTTGACCTTGTCTGCCTGTTGGGCTGTCAGGAAGCTCCCTCCTCTGAGGAAGCCTTGACCAGGAACAGACCGGCTATTTGGGGGTCACATCTGTTTTGCCCCTTGTCTTGCTTCTCGCTGGGAAGTAGGCAGTTCTGTGGACTGGGCCTTCTTGGGACTCCACCAGGGTGTCTGGCTCTGCTCCCCTCACCTCCTCCCACCACCCCACTTGTGGCTCTCAAGGCAGAGAGCTTGGGAGGCTCAGCGAACTTCACTCCCAGGGCTCAGAGCACCATAGCCATGCCTGAAAGCCCAGGCAGTTCTTCCCAAGGCTGGTGGCATCTTTCTCCCAACTCAGAGAGTGGATTGCACTGAGGCCGAGGCCCAAGAGAGGCTCTAGAGGATGGGATGTTGGGCCTTGGGGAAATGGAACTTTCTGACCACTCCTGCCCCACCTAGGCAGGCCATTCCCAGAGAGACTGTGCTGTCTGAACAGGGCAGCAAGCCTGCCTGGGCAGTCAGAGAAGTTCTTCCTAGAAGAGGTGGCGTTAAAGCCGGGACACAGAGGAGGACATAGCTGTAGCCGCAGTGTGAATGGTGGACTCAAGGCTGCAGAACAGGAGTTGGGGCTGGTGGGCCATGAGATATTGGCATCCATCTCCCCAGCCTGAAGGGGGCATCCTTGAGCAGCAGCTGGACAGGGGCCCAGAAGTGTCCAGCCATCAGAGGGTGGCCCAGGCTGGAGCCCATGCTGACAGGCAGCAGCCCTGGCCCAGAGCTGCCCGAGAGCCCCTGGGACACCTCAGGAGCAAAGACATGATGCAGGGCATGGCTGGACCATGCTGCAGGTGCCCTGTGTTCACAGAAGTCCCCAAACTGCACGCACAGGTGCCCTGGGTACCCGGGTACGCATGTGAGCACACACTTTGGAATTGGTCGGGACCACAACTGGAAGTAGGAGAAATGCAAAGTCCCAAAGTGAGTTTGTTCCAGTAACCAGGAAATGCCATGAAGCACCTGCTTCAGGCAAGGTTGGATCCAGCGACCAGCCAAACTTTTGGTCTCTGTCTGCCTGCGTGTCTCAGTCTCACTCTATCCTGGCTCGACTGCCCTCGCTGTGTTGGTTTCCTTCTGTGCACAACCTCCTCCACACGGCAGGGAAGACTGGACCCCACACCTCCCTGACTAGGCCACTGTGCATGGTCTCGGCGAGGCCTCTGATTCCTGTTTCCAACGCTGCACCAGTCCCATGGTGCAGGGTTGCTGCGCCCTGATGGGCCACCTCAGCCCTCCCCTGGTGTGAGGGCACGTGAGTGACAGCCCTGCCGCCCTGAGGGTCCCCCCAAGACTTGCAGAGCCATGGGAAGCACCCCCTTCCCATTCTCCCTCCCCCTCTCCTTTCTCTACAGCTCTGTGGAAATGGATTCAGTCCCAAGAACAGTTCCCCAGCTCCTTCACCCCCACCTCTGTCCCTGATTTGCTGTGTGACTTTGGGTAGTCTCCTGCACATCTCTGGGCCTTCATGTCCCTCTGCAACATGAATGATTCTCTTCCCGCACAGGGAAAGGAGGATGAGGTGAGACGATGGGGGTGTAGCCCCTCTTGGCAGGGCTTCCCCTTTAAGACTCTGGTCTCTGCATGAAGTCACCTCTCCAGAGGGGCCACTGTGGGCCTCCCCACTGTCAGCATCCTCCGCCATGTGCCCTGGGGCCTGGAGCACAGGGGCCACCCCAAAAATACGTGTGGGAGGAAGGGATGGCTGACACTCCCCACAGGCGGCCGGGTCACCTGCAGGGCCTGGGGGTCCTGGGATAGGCCCCGGCCCCGACCTGTGACTTCCCTGTCCACGTCCAGATGGCTCCCGGCCTTCCGCTGGGGCGCACTCTTGGGGCCAGGCATGTAGCGGGGGCCGGGAGCACGGCCCTCCTGGACCTGCTGTTGGCTGGGGAGGTGGAGGAGGGACACACCACACGGTTCTGAGCGGGCTCGGAAGGAGCAGGGATGGGGGAGGGGGGCAGGGTGTGCGGTGACCACGAGGGAGCCACTCGGGAAGGCGGCCAGGGCAGGCCTCTGTGAGGAGGCACCACTGCACACAGCGTGTGACACCTGGGGGCGCCCAGCGGGCCAAGGTCAGCAGAGTGTCTCCTGCCAGGCCGGTGGCCACAGTGGCTGAGAGAACGTCCTCCCGGCCCCAAGAGCGCTTTTCATGGGGGCCTCCTGCCACCCCAGACGCCCTAACATGCTTTCCCCTCCGGGGTGCGGGCCTACCCCCACCGCCAGCTCGCGGCCCGGGGCCCGGGGGAGGGAGTAGCTGCGGGGGCCTCCGAGTCCTGCCTGAGGGTCAAGGCGCAGACCTCCGCGGGCCTTCCGTCCTCCTCGCGGCCGTGGTGTTTCTCACAGATCCTCCTGGATTCAGGATTTGGATTAGACCGCTGTCCGCTTTCAGGAAACCCGTGCTTTACACCGAGCCACCCAGCTCTAGGTCTTCACCCATTTGGGGTGCCAGGAGCATCCTGCAGGGTGAGCCACAGTCACGGAAGGCCAGCAGAGCGCAGGCAGGGCTCCAGGGCATGCGCCCCCCTCGCCAGACCTCCACGTTCTTGCTTGAGAGGGACCCTCAGAGACCGGGCATCTCTGACCAAGTGCGCTGGTCGGTGGCCTCAGACATTGTTCTGGGTTTGGTCCTCGGCCCGTGCGCAGAGCAGGAGCACCGGGGGCGGGGAGCCTGCCGCACGGGAGGCCTTTCACGGTCCTGCACCCTTGCTCTGGGCATGTTCTAGTCTGTCCTCAGAAGTCCTGGCTGAAAGGGTTTGGAACAGAGCAGCCCCACCCCGTCCCCCGGAGCCGCGGGCGGCGAGGGTCCCAGCGCACCGCCTGGCCGTCTCCCTGGTCCCAGCTCGCCGGGAGAGCCGGGCTGTCCCCAGGGCTGACTCCAGGGACCAAGGCCAAGGCCGTGGCTGGTCTGATTGCCGTGCTGCTACGCTCAGTCCTGGGAGCGGTCTGGGCTCAGGGGGAGGAGCTGCTCAGAGCACCCCATTTCTCATCGCACACGCTCTCTGCTGCTGGACGGCAGCCCGGATCTGCAGCCGCCTCTGCCGGGGGTCCCCCGGGGCGCCTCCGGCCCACGTGCAACCAGCAGGGTGCACTCTTCTCCTGGGCTTTACGGCTCACTTCCCTTCCTGTACAACTCAGAAAAAAAACTCCGAAAGGCTGAAAGAAAAGCATCCAGTTTCTGAAATTCCGGCTGAGTGCATCCCCTCCGAAGGAGCTGGAAAACCCCAAGTCCACGTGGCTCCGTGGCTGCCCAGCCCACAGGGCTGTCCACGCTGTCAGTCCGGGCTGTCCTCAGGCTCTGGCTTCCATGGCTGTGGGCCACCTGCAGAGT